TCAAACTTCAAACGGGCCTGACGACACGGCTGCCTGCCACTCACAGTGATCGCATTGGACCGACCTGTGGGTCCGCTTCACTTTTTTCCGGGAAGAAGGGACCCTCTCCGCGGCAACGTGTAACGCGGCAAGGTCACGGAGCCGTGAGCGAGCCGTAACGGTTCCGTGGGTCGCGCCCGTTCCCCATCATCATAACCTGCGTACCGGTACCACCGGCACCTACCCCCAGCGGCCAGCGAGCGGGGGTAACGTCGTCACCCTAACGCCGCCGCCGTGGCCGGGAGCGGAGCCCGCGGCGCAGCCCTAACGCCGCCACCCCATGGCCTCCTGCGACGACGACTTCGGCCTCCTCGGTGACGACGCCCACCCCGCTCCCCAGCCTTCCGCCCAGCCGGCCCCGCCGCAGCAGGCCCAGGGCTTCTGCCTCGTCGAAGCCTCGGCCGCGGGCTCCGGCGCCGGCCCCGGCCCCTTCGCGCCGGCCCGGGAGGAGGGCAACCACAGCTCCGACCGCGGGAAGGCGTCGCACCACACCAAGCGGCGGAGGGACCGCCCGGAGGAGTTCAGCGATGGGGGCGAGTACTGCTCCTACATCAGCGGCGGGGGGAGGAAGGGCCGTGGCGGCGGCGTCTCGTCGGACTACCGGAAGGATCGGGAGGAGTGGACGGACGGCGCCATCAGCAGTCTCCTCGACGCATACATGGACCGGTTCGAGCAGCTCAACCGAGGGAATCTCCGGGGGCGGGACTGGGAGGACGTCGCCGCTGCCGTGACCGACGGGCAAGGCAAGAGCAGCGGGGGCAAGAGCGTGGAGCAGTGTAAGAATAAGATCGACAACCTCAAGAAGCGGTACAAGGTAGAGTGCCAACGCATCGCCGGCTCCGCCTCGGCCAGCCTCTGGCCCTGGTACAAGCAAATGGAGCAGATTATGGGCAACTCCCCATCGCCCGGCACCCCCAAGCCGCCGCCGGCCACCAACGACGATAAGCCGCGGCAACAGCAGCAGCACAGCAACAAGAGGTGGCTCCATTTGACATCTTTTCTCTCATTAATTTGCGGATCTAATGGTCGAGAGTCTAGAGACGAGCTGATGCTTATCCTTGCAGGTACCCTTCTTCCGGCACTGGCCACGCTACCACCATGGTTCCTTATTCCAGATCCACTCCTCTCTCGAATCCGAAATGGAAAAGGGTACTTCTGAAGATTGGGGGCACTGCATTGGCTGGAGAAGCTCCTCATAATGTTGACCCTAAGGTAGTATTTGTTAGATATGCACAGATCTTGTTCATTGCTCTCCTGAATATTTCACACAGAGCCTTGTGACCTTGCCAGGTGATCATGCTGATTGCCAGAGAAGTTCAAGTGGCATGCCGCCATGGTGTTGAGGTAAATAGAACACATTCATTCTACTATTCTAGACTTCCATTTTGTAAATATCAAGCGATACAGGCCAAGCTAATATTGCATTTTGTCCAATCAGGTGGCTATTCTCATGGGAGGTCGGAATGTATTCTGCGCTGACTCTTGGGTTGCTGCCACTGGCACTGATAGAGCTTCAACGCATCCGATTGGGTAATTATCTCGGAATCATGTCATTGTTAGCTTTCTCAAAACTAAAGAAGTTTGGCTGCTTGCATAAGATGCCAAACAGAGTAGTATATGGATAGCTTTTCCTTGGATTTTGTTCCAGTGCACAGATTGGTTGAGGCTGGTCCAATCTGTGTGTTAATAAAACTACTTTGGAACTATTCTTGAGATTCTTGTTTTAATGTATCATGGATTTGCAACCAGGCATCTATATTGCAAGTGCCAGTATGAATTCATACATTACCCTGAAGCTACAAATGATTAGAGACATAGCCAGAGCCTCAGTGACTCACCAAGCTTAAGAACTGGGAGTAGTTGTTTTAGTTTAAAATATATTTTTCATTTCCTGAATAATTATTTGTATAGAGTTTTGCTTCGGCAATCCCCCCTAAGAGTTTGCATGAATCTAAAATTACTTAAAAAGGGTATTCTCGTACAGTCACGATCAACTAATTCTAACCCGTATTCCCAACTTTTCGTCCGTGGGGGTGGGGGTGTAACCAAACAGTCCTCTCTGGTAGGTGCCAGGCTAGGTTAGACTTTTTATCCCATTGTTTTTTTAAGTTGGGCAATTTCATGTGCCTTTGATCCCGAATAATATATACGAGGATTGTGGTTTGCTCTTTTGATCTTTATTACTACGTATAATCCTTAGCTGTAGACTGTGACAACTACAGTACAGACTATTGTTTGATCTTCTTCATTTCAATCCCCATCATTGTTTCAGTGCATCAGACTTGGTACCTTTTGTTTGAGTGTTTCAATAGACAATCAATCATTCACATCTGTGATTTCCTACTAAACAGCAACCAATGGAGCTCAATTTTCATATGGTTTGTTCTTATTTTCTACATCTTTAGCTAGAAAACATGAATTCATGCTGACCATCAGGCTTGCATTACACTTCTCCTGTCGATCCTAGCTTTCCTTCCGTGGTTGCTACATGTGTATGTATTTATGGTGCTTCTTGAATTTTTTTCAGAATGATGGCAGCAGTGATGAATGCAGTATTGCTCCAAGCGTCACTGGAAAAAATAGGTGTGGAGACACGAGTCCAGACTGCATTGATGATGCAAGAGGTTGCAGAACCATACATAAGGCGGCGAGCTATACGCCATCTGGAAAAAGGAAGGGTTGTTATCTTTGGTGGAACTGGTGCTGGTACAGGAAATCCACTTTTTACAACAGATACAGCTGCTGCACTGAGAGCTTCTGAAAGTATGTCGGTTAATCCTCTCCCAAACTCCATCCTGTTCTTTCTAACATGCCTGTTCAGTATTTAGCTTGCACCTACATCTTTTCTTGCCTAAATGTGTATTTTTTTTTGCTGTTTTTATTTTCTATGAGAAAGAGAACATCAGCTTTTATGGAGAGGAAATCTAACCAGATGTGCTGTCAACCAGTCAATGCAGACGTTGTCCTTAAAGGTGTCATTGGAGATGATGAATATGGTTGTCCTCCTAGGAGCAACGGCAGTGCACCATTTGAGCACATCTCATTTAGGGAGTTGGCAGCAAGAGGAACCAGCAAAATGGACATGACAGCAATTACATGTTGTGAGGAGAACAATATTCCTGGTTAGTTTCTCTATGAATCTTTCATTTCAAAGTTGTGTTTAGCGCCTCCTCTGGCAGTATACATAAGATGATTTGTGTGTGTTCATTTCTTGCAGTTGTCATCTTTAACATGTTAGAGCCTGGTAACATGTCCAGAGCTATTTGTGGCGACCAAGTAGGTACGTTAGTTGACCAGTCAGGAAGGATAACTTAATTCACAAGGGGGGTTAACTTTGTTGTAGCATTGGGACATTCGTATTCTCTCACGGCAGCGTGCATCTTCGTTGATTGCATGGATCTTTGTGGATGGGAGAGAGGGTAATGTTCCTCGGAGAGAAGGCTCACACCTTGATTTGCATCGGGTGCTTGTTGCGTGACATCTGTTGTAGCGGCTCTGCCATGAGAAGTTGTTTGTTTGTAGTATCTGTCTGTAATGTGATGGTTAGACTAGTTGAAGAGCCTTTGTATAAAGTCGTCTTTATGCCTGCGTATGGCGTTAGGTCAGGTCATCAGAATGTTGTATTGTGCTCTAGTAGTAACTTGTAACGCTGTTGTTGAGCTGTAGTGCTGTACTGTATTGGAGAAAGGCATTTTTCTTCCTTCCGTGCTCTAATGAGTGATGGCTACCCAGCAAGTGTGCTGTGTGATGTTGCCATTTCTTTTTCACATCAAACATTACCAGCTAGAGAACCGAATATTGTTTGACCAAGAACGCCTTACTGAATGCAACCTGTTAGCTTTGCTGTGGCCGCAGGTGGTTCATTGCATAGGTTGGCATGTAGTCCCAGTCTGGCATTCTGAACTCCTGAACCTTAGTGTGCTGCTACTGAGATTTGTCATTTCAGATGTTCTTTTAATCTTTTGTTAGCTGTTTGGTGTCGTGTCAGTTGAGTAAATTGAGTATTCGTCGATTTTGGTCCAGTGCCG